TGACCCAACCGAGCCATATTGGCTGGAACTTATGTTCCTGAAGGTTCTACCATGACAAGCAGGTCGATTGGAGAGCGATGAGACTAAAAGCAACTACCCAAGGTCTGAGGGCGAAGTCGTACTGCTGACTGCAGAGGGGTGTGACAGTAGTAATGTGTTTCCCTCGGATAACCAGCATCTGCAGCGATGCTGCCTTCTCACAAGGAAGGAAGAGTTAGAAAAGGTCGACCCTAAAAATGTCACACCTCACCCTACCTCACGGATTTCCGTCCCCGGTGGTAAGGGTGTCTGCCCAGTAAGGGCTTTTAAGAGCGGAGCTAATCCTCAAAAAACCTTTCATAAAAAGGCCGTGCGTGACCGGCCTCAAGCAGTTGTCCCTTGGGCTCTGTGGTCACGCACCCAGGTCCCCAAGACCAACACTAATCTATCTTCCTTTTCAGGTTCCTCTAGAAAAGATGAGTTCTACAGAAAGCTTTCGGACCTCCTCCAAAACGTTAAGCGCTCTGATGTAGTAATAATGGCTGGTGACTTCAATGCTCAAGTAGGTAGACTAGGTGAAAATGAAAGACACCTGGGTGGATCTTATGGTGTCGCGTCTCAAAGAACACACAATGGCGACCGTCTGTTGCAACTGTGCTCAGATAACCAACTATTTCTAGCAAACACTAATTTTAAGCATAAGGAAAAGCACCTTTTGACCTGGCGACCCCCGAAGTCGTCTCAACGTTGGACGCAACTAGATTATATCGCCATCAGCCACCGATGGAGAGGTTCGATAGAGGACTTTCGCTCGTTGTGGGTCACATGTTTAGATTCAGATCATGCCCTAGTGCGAGCTCGTATTTGTTTGAGGCTTACTGGACGTAGGAAAGACACCGTAAGGAAGCCTCTTAGGGTTTTACTTAATGATAATAAAGCTAAGAATATATTTCAGGAACAACTAGAAAAACAGTTAGGCGACCGTTTAAGCGATTCCCATCCGGAGGCAGGTTGGAATGATATCAAAAAGGCTGTGGAAACAGCAGTGATATCTGCGCAACAGTTCGCTCCGTTCTCCTATATGGTTGTGAAACATGGCCGTCAAGAGTAGAAGATGTTCGTAGGTTACTAGTATTCGATCATAGATGTTTAAGAAGCATCGCTCGTATATCGTGGGACAACCGAGTAAGCAATGCTGTCGTTAGGAAACAAGTACTAGGTTAGGATGGCAGATCAATAGATGAAGTAGTGAAACTTCATCAGTTGAGGTGGTTGGGACATGTGTTACGTATGGCTAACCATCGACTGCCTCGACGAGCTATGTTTTGTAGTGTAGGAGTAGGTTGGAAGAAAGTTAGGGACGGCCAGACCAAAACACGGCAGAAATCCATGAAGTCTCTGACAAATGGACTGAGTCATGTTGGTAGATGTAGACTACCTGGTTGGGGTCCGCGAGACGAAAGTAACCAATGGTTAGAGACCTTGAACTACATGGCTCAAAATCGTTTGCAATGGCGCAAGTGCACCCAATCTTTGAGAAAGCAAAAGCGATGGAAAACGCAGCGGCGATAGGCAACACTAGACAACTTTTCCGCCTTATCACAGAAACCGGTATTAGGAACCCGAATGTGAGTGAGACTATCTCGGAAAAGGATGGTCTTATTATCCATTCTCAATACAGGAGACTGGACCGATGGGCAGAACGCTTTAGGGACCAGTTCAAATGGCCTCGAGCCACACTTCGGTTGCCCACGATCCCCAGTCATCCTGAATGGCCAATCGATTTAAGTCCTGCCAGTCTACATGAAGTTGAAAAAGCTATAGGAAATCTAAAGCGAAGTAGAGCAGCAGGTCCTGATAGGCTTACCCCTGAGATGTTTAAGGATGATGGTCCAGTTTTAACAGTTAGACTGTTAGACGTAATCCCATTTGACTGGTCTCAGTCGCTAATTGTCCCAATCTACAAGAAAGGACAAAAGTCCTCTTGTGACAATCACAGGGGAATAAGTCTAACTAACATAGTTTCTAAATTGTTAGCCTCGATTATACTTAGACGTCTAACTAGAGCTCGTGAAGAGCAGACTCCAGAAAACCAGTCTGGTTTTCGACCTGGACGTGGTTGTATAGACCACATCTCAACACTAAGACAGGTCCTGGAACACAGACACACATTTAGACGTCCGACAATAGTCGTGTTCCTGGACCTAAAAGCGGCATTTGACTCAGTGTATCGTAAGGTTTTGTGGCAGTGTCTGTCATTGAAAGGTGTACCAAAGAAGTACATTAACCTTATACAAGCTCTCTACTCGAACACCACTGGTCGAGTGAGAGCATATGGCGAACTGTCATCTGAACTCTCTACATCAAGTGGTGTCCGGTAGGGCTGTCCACTCTCTCCATTCTAGTTTAACTTTGTCGTAGACGTCCTCTCAGAGTTAACATTAAGCTCGTCAGATTTTTCAGGGGTTGACCTTCTACCAGGAAAATCGCTTACTGATCTAGAATATGCCGATGACATAGTTCTATTTGGTGAAGACGCTGACAAAATGCAGTCTTCTGACTACCATAAGCAACAATGCGAGCATGTTCGGCACGCGATTCTCACCCTCGAAATGCAGTGTTGCTTCAAGACTGGGTTGCATCGGCACTCTGAAATCCTTATCTTTTGGATTCTTCAGCACCTCCACCTTTGTCTTTCTAACGTTATCTCACTGAATTATACTTCTTGAATAATAATATCTTCGAACCCTAGTCTTCTTCATTACCATTAATACCTCTACTATCTTTATCACTATGGGATTTGATTTGACATTTGCGTCTCTGTGCTAATGTGGTATGGCAACATGAACTTACGTACATAAGTACGTAGTTCTACGTTGCAACTGACTGACTGACTGAGTATGCGAATTATATTGTCATACTGTGTAATGATTCCCAAGCCGTGCATTCCGCACTTAATCAATTGGCAATCAGTGTCCATAGGTGTGACATGAACTTTTCACCTTAGTTCAAAGTATTTTAACGAAACTGACAGGACCCTGAATCTGCATTCACTTTTGGTAGTGAGAAGATTGAAGTACATGAAAAGTCTATGTATCTATATAGCTGTGTAAGTGCTGATGATGGAGTGAGTGATGAGATCAATGCACGCATAGTGAAATCCAGAGCGGCATATGCCAATCTAGGTCATCTTTGGTGCCTTCGTGATTTTAGTGTAGTTATAAAAGATCGGATCTACAACCCGTCAGTAAGAGCAGTTTTGCTCTATGTATGTGACCCCGGTCTTTAGTAATTCAGAGGTACAGAAACGATAATTCAGTTAGTGTCATCATCTCGAAACACAAACTTCGGTGACTTGGACATGTACTAAAATTTTGTCCCAGCGAATCCCACATAGTGCATTATTTGCTAATGCTCGGACTGCCTCTGAACAGAAGCTAGTGGTGGCCCTGCTGTAACTCTTGTTCTCTTATTTGACCGAAAAACTTTCTGATTGTATTTTCCTTAGCTTGACTGTTTTTTCTCCCACCATAATTACCATTATTTGACTCTGTGCACTAATTTCTACTCCTTTCGCTGTCATACTCGCCGCTCTTTCTCTATCTCTTCACAACCTCATTTTTATTGTGTAGAGCATATTTATTTTGGTGCCTACTTGTTCCAAAATTTGTTTTAAATAAAAATAAATTAAAACGTTTTGCTAAAAATGTTGATAAGCTGCTACTGGTATGGATGTTTGTTATGGATGCGAAATAAACTGTCACCTGCTACTTGCTCAACGAGACAAGATTGAAATATCTCAACGTAATGGATATAAACAATTGATGAAGATATATTTTTGTACACCACTTATTTACAGCTAATCAAAATGTATTAAGTTACATCTTCTGTTAGATATCCGATCGATAGAAAAATCAGAATATTTGGAATACGCAGTTAATCAATAACTCAGGTAGAACACTTTTAAAAATCAATAGATCGACTGTTTTAAATAATATAACAAAATTACTGAGCAGTTTGTTCCTTTCCAAAACGTTGCTTTTCTCATTTGCCCTTAAAAATCATAACATACCAATTCCAAGATAAACCCCTTAGAGATAAATACTAAAATATTACTTTACTCCAAGGATTTGTAGCTCATTGTGAAAATGCTGTTCTTGAAATGTACTTTTATCTTAGGTATTTGACCATGGACGCATTACTGAACTTGCATTAATAAGGTGATTTATTATCACAGTAAGTGTTTGGAAGTGTCGTTTACAGTAGAGTATATAGCAAGTAATAAGATAAAAAAAATACTACCAGGAGGAACGAAACAAATGTCAATTTTAAGCCGAAGGGATAGTGTTCAGCCAGTACAATACCAAAGATTATAGTACTGCATACTAAGACTGATTTACATACGACAACTAATTGCACATTCTTATTCAATGTACACTGAACAATGTGATCCAACTGCTTGTAGAATAAAAATTACAGGTGAATTCATGGTGCGACCTAATTTATTGAGGCATAATAAATATATTCTAGTTGAAACGTTACTAACAGCTAATGCATACCATCTGTAATTAGTCTTGTTTTACTTACTGATTATCACCATTTAAACAAAATTATTGTCAAAAATAGGCACAAATATTTATGCACCACACACAAACGAATTCGTGTGTGGAATCAGATACTGTTCGGGTTACCAAAACGCGCTCTTTCTAGAACGGCAATCAACCACCCGTTTACCTACACGTCCAATCCACAAGATCATGGGACGACGTTGAAACATAGAGTATTATGATAGCCGATTACCAACAATAAGTTCATACGCTATGATGATTGTCATGAATGAGATAACCGAAAACTATATCCACACGCCAAAAAGATAGTGTATTAAACCGCTTTTAATGTATGAATGGTTTCAGACTGTTGGGCAAAAAATATGGAAGTAGAGAAAATCTTACAATATATTAATTTTTAAGACAGCTTTACATGCATGATACTTTCGAAAACGTCATAATGAAATGAATTACCTAGAGTCTTCTCGTTATTCGTAGCGTCATCTGCACGATGTCGCCTCTAAAATGAAAATATTAGCAAGTCAGGAAGATAACATACAAAATCCTCTATCATTTCTTTAATGGCTGAGACAGTAAGTATAATGCAGAGAGGAACGAGAGTTGTGAATCTTCCAGTAGGTGAGACACCAGGAATTTGCTAAACAAAAAAAGATGTGTGAAATTATTGAGCAACTACCTGGAGAAGAGCGATAACCAGGAAAAATATATTTGCATATCTACGGAACTGTTCAATCAAGAATTTCGGGAGAAAAGTAAGGAAATTGTATTTTGCAGTGCTTAACAATAATAATTTTGAGCTAATATATCTCACCTTATATCATTCTTGCAGAAGCTGACTAACTGAGGTTTATTTACTTGAATAACGCGACAGCTTTCTGTTCCTGAATGATCAGAATTACTATTGCGATTTTTCATTTCAGTGTAATCAGGTTGACCTGAGAGACAACAAAAAGAAATACGGATTCAAACTTACCTTCTGTAACATCTCGTGTAACCATTTACAATGCAATGTTATCTTATTTAGAAACCAGAAACATCCGACTGACCTTGAAACTGCAAATTTTGTGCATAGCCTTTCAG